TTCCTCTAATGACCAGTATCTTTCATTCCAGGTCTTATCCATTTAGTAAATAAGAGTTGCTCTTGGCACATTTGAGAGAACACGTTTTCCTCTTTATTATTTGAAAATAGTCCATAACTATGCATAAGATAAATTCAAAGCCCATCTCATATATGCCATCTGGGACAACAACCATTCATACATACATATATCATGCATTTGGAACAGTAAGCATGCATCTATCTCCCTCCAAACTGTGTCTTTTAGCGATCTTCTTTCTTCATGGTAATTTGTGTATAACTTTCTTTTATAGGCCTTTATGATACATCTTCTTCCCCTTACAGTACTAGAAATATTCTTGTTATTGCTTCAACTAATATTTCCCAAAAAGTGGATCCCACTCAAATAGTTCCGAATAAATTAAATACATGCATTAAGATACGAATGCTTATTATTCCACAATAGTGAAAGCACTTTTTCATTCTTTCATATACTAGGGGATTTCACTTGGAAAAGAAAATGTTGTATACTAACGGATTCGGGTCCATGACCATACGTTCCAATGCAGGAGATGTTGTAGTAATTTAGGATTGTGGGAATGATTCATCCATGTATGATTATATTTTGCTGTAGCCAAAAAAAAAAAAAAAAAATCTCTTGCTAACCTGATTCTTTTATAGTTTTTTTGAATTAGGCCAACTATAATCTATATCTTTTTTCTTTTGCTGAAGTAATGTTCTGGAATACTCAGAAATTTCACTATATAAAATTTAAATGCTGAATATGTTAAGCTAATCAATTCTTGTTAAACTTATGCTGCATCTATGTTAGGTTATCTGCACCATCGCAGTTCTTATGTAGCAAGAGGCATGGCTCTCTCAAGGCACCTCTCTACAGGAGAAAGGGCTCCTCCCAAACTGTTACTGTTTCATGCATGCAAGACAACACAACAAAGTATTTTGACTTTGTGGTTGTTGGCAGTGGTGTCGCTGGCCTAAGGTATGCTCTTGAAGTTTCAAAACATGGATCAGTTGCTATTATCACTAAGGCCGAGCCTCAAGAGTGCAATACAAATTATGCACAAGGTGGTGTTAGTGCTGTTTTGTGCCCTTCAGATTCTGTTGAGAATCACATGCGTGATACTATTGTTGCAGGGGCTTATTTGTGCGATGAGGAGACAGTTAGGGTAAACTTCGTCTTATGGAATTCTCTTCCTTTATCTCTAATGAATAACATGTCTTTAATTATTTACTTATTGTATTTCTTCTTGTTGCGCCTTTATTCTATAATTATTTGGAAAATGAGGGCGTAACCCAGTCGAATGAATGATATGGTATAGAAAGAACACTTAGCGTAGCAGGTTTATTGAATCTGAGATTGAAAATCCTTCGTGGGCTCTATTCATATAAATGATACTATTGGTCTTTGATTCATGAATATGCTACAATAAGGAATTGCCATCTTTTACTAAAATTGCTTGCTTAGAATGTGATGGGTGAATGTTTAAAGAGAATAAACAATTAAGGTAGACAAAAACATCTTTTATTTGTCCAACTATTTATCGGTTTTATACGTTTAATCACATATGGAGAATGATGCTAAGAAGACCAAGCCCTAGAAATTTTTGTGTTACTTTTCATTCATAAGCATATATGAAACCAATAGTGCGTTGCGCAAAGAAAGATATCATTCCTTTGTTTAGGAAAACAATATTACTTTCTTTACTGTTATGAAAAACATAAGCCTCTATAAGCCATAGATATGCTCTGGAAAGATGATACTAAAGAACACGAGTAAGTTCCAGTTTAGGAACCCTTTCCCTGGGAAACATTTGCATCTCTAATTTTAGCTTAATGGTGACATCTTAATGAAATTTTGAATTACTGTATCTTTTAAGTTGCATATTCAAGTTTCTATTACTTTTACTGAGTCACTGAAAAAACCTTCTTCATCCTCTATTTTGATCAACTTTGTGATGTATTGGGAACTGAAAACTTGTACCAAGTTTATGCAGGTAGTTTGCACAGAAGGTCCTGAGCGAGTGAAAGAACTAATTGCTATGGGTGCATCATTTGATCATGGAGATGATGGAGAACTACATCTTGCGAGGGAGGGGGGACATTCTCATCATAGAATTGTTCATGCAGCGGACATGACTGGGAGAGAGATTGAGAGGGCACTATTAAAGGCTGTGGATGATGATCCAAACATATTTATGTTCGGGCACCACTTTGCAATAGACGTACTTACCTCTCAGGTTTTTTTTGACCTACCGTTTTTTATCTAATATCTGGAATAAACAACAGATACATACTTCATTTCCCCCCGAATCTTTGGGATTGGCTACATGAATCACTTTTCTCCATTTGGCCATCTCCTCTCTTAAATTAACACCCACTGATCTAGTATATAATATTTCAAATGCTTTTTTAAACAGAAGGGAACACTATTGGAACACCAATTGGATTGCAGTAAATCAAAGCCAATGATTGGAAAATAAGAACAAAATTGTTCTAGGAGGGATGGAAAGGAATATATTTGATCAAATATGATCTTTGCATTTACTTCCCTAGATATATCTATATTACATGAAACTGTGCAAGTCAAAATGGCATGCGGATGGAAAATTTCATTACTTGGAAGTCATGGAACTGAGAAAATGTCATGTCGCATTGAACGGAAAATATACAATATAATCATAATTTCTTACAGATATCACTGGGAAGTATTTCATCTTTATAACAGTTGAAGGCATATCTATTGTACATTTACCTCTTATAACCAGTACAAACATGCATAGTCTTGGCTGGTGTGTTACTTACATATGAAGCTACCAGGTTGTTAGTTACGAGCTATGTATGTTGATTATTTGGGTGGATGTGTACCACGTTGGTGACACACCTGTCAGAGTGTGGAGGCACATTCCTCTATCTATTTTGTTGTGAACACGAGTTTTGGGTCAAAACAATATTAGAATCACCTGAGACAATTTATCTGATGATTTTTGCAGGATAAGATGGGAATTAATTGCCACGGTGTTGATGTGTTGAATGTGGAGACAGAACAGGTTCTATTACTGACTTCATTAATTTCTTTTACTCACCAATTTCTTTACTTTCCTGTATTATATGCTTAGTAATATTCTATCACTCGAGCAATTGAAGGAGATCTATGGTTTTTGGAAAAAAAAAATATGTGCTAGGTGTTTCGGTTCCTCTCTAAGGTGACATTGCTTGCTTCAGGGGGAGTTGGACATATTTACCCCACGACAACCAATCCACCGGTATCCTTCTACCTACATGTTATTACTAGAATATATCTTCTGCTTGTCAGTTATCATCCCTCTGATTTAGGCGGTAATTATACACGTATAGGTAGCTACTGGAGATGGCATTGCAATGGCTCATCGCGCTCAAGCTGTTATCTCCAACATGGAGTAAGTCCATGCTCTTTTTCCATTGATAAAGAATTATTTTCTTTATATTTATGGTAAACCCCAGAAATTGAGTTTTCATCAATTTTATCTTTTTTGGAAATTTCAAACGTGTAATTGGTTGCTTGGTTGCATTAAACAGAGTCAGATGTAGATATTTCAAATTTGTAGATATTCAAATTTCAAGTTCTGCTACTCTCTTCTTGCCATGATGTATTTTTTACTCGGAAATCATTATGTACTTACAAGTTTTTGCCTTGCCCTCCAAATACGTGAAACATGCAGCAATATGTTTCTGCACGTTACATTTATAACCTTTCATTGCACCCTTGTGTGCATATTAACCACTCATCTCTGAAGAGGACTAGGTCAATCGGCTACCCTTTAACAATATCCAAGATGCACCTATTGTAGATCAAATTTTATAATCTGTTTCTGTGAATTATAACTCCATAGCATTGGATGTGAACTATTATAATTCAACTGCTTTGAAATAAAATGTCAGAGATATTTTCTACATATTTTAATCGTGCATCTTATGTTGTTAAAATCAACACTTAGAATTTTCATAAAATCGAATGATTTTATCCCTATTAAAGACACAGAAAATCATTGGAAATTTTCTTTCTGGGTAATCCATATGTATCATGCCACATCAATGGTCAAAATCGTTTTTCCTGAATGTTCTTTTCTTTCTGTCTTCAAAGATTCGTGCAGTTCCACCCAACAGCTCTTGCTGATGAAGGCCTCCCCATCAAACCCACTAAACCACGAGACAATGCGTTCCTCATCACTGAAGCTGTCCGTGGCGACGGTGGCTTTCAAATTTGTAGATATTCAAATTTCAAGTTCTGCTACTCTCTTCTTGCCATGATGTATTTTTTACTCGGAAATCATTATGTACTTACAAGTTTTTGCCTTGCCCTCCAAATACGTGAAACATGCAGCAATATGTTTCTGCACGTTACATTTATAACCTTTCATTGCACCCTTGTGTGCATATTAACCACTCATCTCTGAAGAGGACTAGGTCAATCGGCTACCCTTTAACAATATCCAAGATGCACCTATTGTAGATCAAATTTTATAATCTGTTTCTGTGAATTATAACTCCATAGCATTGGATGTGAACTATTATAATTCAACTGCTTTGAAATAAAATGTCAGAGATATTTTCTACATATTTTAATCGTGCATCTTATGTTGTTAAAATCAACACTTAGAATTTTCATAAAATCGAATGATTTTATCCCTATTAAAGACACAGAAAATCATTGGAAATTTTCTTTCTGGGTAATCCATATGTATCATGCCACATCAATGGTCAAAATCGTTTTTCCTGAATGTTCTTTTCTTTCTGTCTTCAAAGATTCGTGCAGTTCCACCCAACAGCTCTTGCTGATGAAGGCCTCCCCATCAAACCCACTAAACCACGAGACAATGCGTTCCTCATCACTGAAGCTGTCCGTGGCGACGGTGGCATCCTCTACAACCAGTCCTTGCAGCGCTTCATGCCACTATACGACTCCCGTGCAGAACTAGCCCCTCGTGACGTCGTCGCACGCAGCATTGATGATCAATTAAAAAAACGCGGCGAGAAGTATGTTCTTCTTGATATCAGTCACCGCCCTCATGATGCAATCCTATCCCATTTCCCCAACATTGCATCTGAATGCTTCCGTTATGGCCTTGACATCACCCGTGAGCCTATTCCTGTTGTGCCTGCTGCCCATTATATGTGTGGTGGTGTTCGAGCTGGGCTCCATGGAGAGACCAATGTTTCTGGGCTTTTTGTTGCTGGTGAGGTTGCTTGCACTGGCCTCCATGGTGCCAATAGGCTAGCCAGCAACTCTTTACTTGAAGCACTTGTTTTTGCCCAACGGGCTGTTGAACCCTCAATCAATTATGCTACTGAGTCAACTGGTCCAAAATTAAGAATCTGGGCTCATCCAGTTCTTCCAATATCCCTCAAAGAGGATAAAATAGAGGAGATTAAGCAAAAGACAAAGGAAGTGAGAAGGGAGTTACAGTCAGTAATGTGGGAGTTTGTGGGTATTGTGAGGTCTACACAGAGGCTGAAGACTGCAGAGTGGAGGATCTCGGAGTTGGAGGCAGAGTGGGAAGAGTTCTTGTTTCGTCGAGGGTGGAACCAAACAATGGTTGGTGTTGAGGCTTGTGAGATGAGGAACCTCTTTTGCTGTGCAAAACTCGTCATCAGTAGCGCACTTGCAAGGCAGGAGAGCAGGGGATTGCATTACACAGAAGATTTCCCATATCTGGAGGAGAGCAAGAGGAAGCCAACAGTCATTTTTCCTGCTTCACTGCCAGCAGCGAAGGCGACATGGAGTTCACAGCAAGTTCACAAGCAGTTGTATTGCTGATACATGTGATATACTAAAGTATATATATAGCATTCTTTAAATTATTGCTCAAGAACTCAGATTCTTTTCTTGAGATTATAACAGATGTTGCGTTTTTAATTTATGAGCTTCATTTGGTATGAAGTTGTTAACATCTGGAGAGCATAATTGTGTGAACATTACACCAATCAGATCTTGCATGTGTTGCTGTAAAACTGTACATTGTATTCTTGAGCACTCATGCAGCCAATACAAAGTTTTGTAAGCTATTATTTCATCTTTTCCCGCTCCGTTTGTTCTGAGTGATTATATATTTATTTATGAGAATTAATATACAAATAGATATCAATTAGAGCTCAAGTTTAGCTGCCCAAGTGCGTTGTGTGGATACTGCTATGTCTGATATTATGAATGTGATTTATGTAATTTTTATTTCCAATAACTTAGATGCTTTAAATAGTTGCTCAAGGACTTGGATTCTTTCAGAGATTCTCTACACGTTGCATTTTAAGTGGTATAAAGTTTCAATCGGTATGAAGTTGTAACTTCTGTGGAAGATTAAGGAAAAGAATTGATGTATGAGCATTACGCCAATCAGATACAGTGTTTTAAAGTTTGTAGACTGTATTCTTGAGCACACATGCAACAGTATTTAGTTTTCTTAACTATGTTTCTTCTTTTGTACTTCCTTTGTTGCAAGTGATGGTATTTATCCCTGAGAGTAATGTTGAAATGATGCACAGATGAAAGCTCAAGTTTAGCTACTTGAGTGTTTTCTGTGTGGATACTGCTTATGCCTCTTACAAATTACTGTGAATGTAATTGGTAGCATTTATAAATCAAATATCTAATGCATATACTAGTAATTAACAGAAAATATTGGTTTGTTTCACTATGTTACTCGTTTTATAATTCGACAGTTTGATTGAAAGGATATGAAAATAAACAAAAAAGCAACAAACTTCAAACTCCTCGTGTATGTCGAAGCCATCTTGTATATAAGCCAACCAAAAGCCAATTCAATACCACTGTAAGAATAAATATACAATCAACCTCACAATCACATCTCTCTTCTATCCTTCTTTATCCTTTTGCAAACAATCAAAAACTAATCATATGTTCCAACAAATCTTTCTTCTTTTTATTAGTATACATAATTTCATTCTTCAAGATTGTGTATCAAGCTATAACAACACCTTTCTTTAGGATGTGAGGGTTTGAATCCAGTAGAGTTTCCAGTGATCTTGCTTTCCTGCTTCTGACTCTTCCCGCTTCCTTCAAAAGCTCAGCCAGCCTCCTCTTCTCATCATCGACATCTGGATTTGCTGTTCCGAGCTTCTCTTCTCGTATCCCGACAACATGTTCCAGTATCTCGATGGCCTCCTCCAACCTGTATAAATAGCAGGCATCATATCAAGTTCCCAACTTAGCAATTAAATGACAGTTTCTTCGTTTTGTTTGTTTGGGATTCTTATCCATAGTCTCCTATAGAAGCAATTGTTTTCATTTCTGTAACTTTCATTTCTGTAACTTCTGTTAAATTTGGAGACATTCTGGAATTATTAATGAAAAACAATTTTGTCCTCAAAAACAAAATAAAATAAAATAATTATAGATGTGAATAAGAAAGCTATTGACTTTTCTTCTTATATTCCCTTCGTCTCTGAGCTTTTTCAGAAGTTGGTAAACTTTTGCTTTCTTGTTTCAGATCTTAAGAGTTTTGACATTTCAGTAAAGTTGAAGGCCACAATGCCACATGCTTCTTGATGCTCAAAAGGAAACTTCTACGAGCAAAGGAATAAAGCCCAAGGTGGATAAAGTATGTTAAAGAACTAAAGAAGAGTGTGATCTTACTTTACTAACCAATGGGTTGGCTTTTAAGTAATATAAAAGGGTAGGAAACGCTTAGGATAATGTGATAGTTTATGAAGGTTTCAACTTTAAGGGGCAATTGTACAAATGACAAACCATAACATTAACAAAACTAGCATTTCCTACTTCCTAGTGACTGTTCAAATCTTAAGGGAAATGACTAGGACACTGGGCAAACTAATCACATTTGCCTTTTAAGACCAGTACCTTTTTAGCTGAATAAATCTCAGTTATTGAGCCTATTTTGATAGGAAAAAGTAATGAACCAAATTGGTATTGGAAAGACTTCTTATGAAGCAAGATAGAAAGATATGAACCCATCTATTTTGGAGTAAGAAAAATTCGAAGGAGTAATGTCTGGGTAGGTAAAAAGCTATTGAGGAGAAAAAACAATTTTCATCGGCATTTTCAACTTATATGCCTATTTAGCATTTTGGATGCTACTCTTTCGAACCATCAAGGTGGAGAAATGCCTCATATTACCCTCTAGAGGGCAGAAAATTACTCCCAATATGTTTGAAGCAAGACTTGAATATCTGCAAAACCCCAGAATGGTAAGCAAAGACCACACATATGACAAGTAGACAGACTTTATCAACTCTCACAAGGTATTCTCTTTTATTTTCTTCTTCTTCTTCTTCTTCTTCTTTTGCCAACACCAAAAAACAGAATGGAAATAAAGATCATATATTTTTCCAGCTATATGGTTTTCTTACTACTCAAATTAGACAACAATTGATACTCATGAATTTTGCGAAAGATATAACTAGCTCAAATATATGGAGGATCCTAATTTATTACTTTGCTAAATCTGGATGTGATTCTTTTTTTCCCAGGAAAAGTTGTGTTTCTAGACCTTAAGGGCATAAAGAGAACCAAGAGGGGCTTGGTTGCTTTTGGGGATAACATAAGGTTAGCAAGCGAGTAGAGGTTAGGATATTGAATGAAGGAGAAACTTGACGAGGTGACATGCTCTTTATTTTCCCTTACAACATTGTCATAACAATTTGCATCTTTTGAAACCAAAGACATCCAAGAACTCCCACCAAGCATGATGATTAACCCAAACTGAGCATTTAGCAGAAATTTAAAATACAAACACAAGTTTAGTTAAGAGTTCATACCTTCCCATCGCATCGTAAGTTCCTGCAAGATTGCTATAAACACCAAGAGTATCGGGATGGTAAGGTCCATACTCTTGTTCAAGAACACTCCTCGCTTCCTCAAAGAGCTCCGCAGCCTCATTTATAGCAAACCGTTGTACACAAGCAAGCCCCATCTGGTTCAAAGCAATCCCAAAGAATGCTGATTTCTTCTCTCCACAGGCCCTTAGCTTAGAAATCGCGTTCTTAAACGATGAATAAGACTCTCCATAGTTCCCAATTATATAGTGTAACACACCCATTTGTGCTTCAATCCCTGCAATTGTACTCTGCTGACCAGGAGAGTTCTTGTAAAGCTTTAACACCTTTTGAAGCAACTTGAGAGCTTGTTCATGGTCATTCATTGATTCATAGATTGCAGAAACATCGGTCAGACCGCTTGCAATCTCTTCATTGTTGGATCCTGGGATGGGTTTTCCATAGATTTTCAAGGCATTCTCACAGTGTAACTTTGACTCCTTGAGTTTCCCAGTTTTGTTGTAAAGATCAGCGAGGCGAACATAGACAGAAGCGACACTTGGGTGGCTCTCTCCTTTCAAGGACTTGAAAACCATTAGGGCTTTTTGGTAGGCAAGCACAGCCTCGTCGTATCTGGCTAAAGATAGATAAATGTCTCCGATGCTTAAATCCACTGAGGCTACCTCGGATTCCAAGCCATTGGCAACCATGGCTGTACTGGCCAAAACTAGATGCTCAAGAGCAACTTCATGATCCCCTTTTGTGTCACAAATTAGACCCATTAGCCTTCTATCTGCTGTTTCATCCAAAGATGAAGGTTCTCCACTCTCACTATGGATATCGAGGGCCATTTGACATAATCTTTCAGCTTCATCAAACTGAAGAGCTTGAACAAGGGCTTCAGCCAAGTATCGGCAAGTCTCACCAACCCTAGGGTCAGTATCACCGAGAGCTTGCTTTTGAACTTCCAAGCCTGTTGTATAGCATTGTATTGAGCTCTCAAGCTGACCTAGCATTGCATAAGTGTCTCCCAACTGCATTAAGCCCGAGAATTTTGCGAGAGCATGATCTTGCCCCAATTCAAGGTCAGGGATCTCAATGGATTGCTCAAATACAGGGATTGCCTCATCAAATTTCCCTAAACTACAGTGGATTGCGGCTATAACATGCAAGCTCATAACCAAGTCCAAACTAGGGTTACCATCCGAACACTTCTCAAAACACTTGACTGCCTTCAGTCCATATTTGAGAGCTCTCCTGTGGTTATCAGAGGAAATCAAGTCTCGGGCATGCTTTAGATAGAAACGTCCAGTATCAGGGTTATCAGCGCTGGACTCCAGTGAACTCTCACTCCCGTTCATTAGTTTCTTCACTATACTCGCCCTTAGAGGAGGTTTTGACGCACTATGAGGGGTGGTTACCCTCTTAGACTTTTTAGATGAATTCGACGATTTAGTAGGAGATTGAACCTTCTCATTATTCGAATTATCAACCTCTTCTTCTATCTCCTCTTCCATTATTTCAATGGCTTTCATCTCTCCACCAACAAGGTGACGAAGCTCAGAATCGATCCTCGACTCATCACCATCTGACCCGAAACTTTGCCTCGACGGAGAATCCTCATCGCCGGAGCTCTCCATCTCGCACACATTGTCATATAATCGATCGATTGATGTATCTACACAATTTTCCATTGAGAGTTCAAGGGCACCACTGTGATGGCTCTTGGGGGTTGAAGAAGGTTTTGGGGATTCTGAAGTAGCAACGTTTTCTTTGATGGGAGATGGATTCATCTCTGTTATTTCCTCATTCCCATCAAACCCATTAACCATAATTCCGGGCATTTCAAATTTGGGGAAATTATCTGCAAAATGTATCCATGTGGAGAGAGAAATTCAAGATTTTGATGTATAAAAACTTCAAAACGACCAACAAATTAGCATGATTCCACTAGAACGGATCTCTCACAACAATCTTGATCCATACAAACAAACAAAAGAGTTGCCGACCAAAACGTGACTGGCAAAAAGCCAAAATATATTCAAAGTTTGGTTTTTTTCCCAGCTAAACGGATCAAATACATCAAAAAAAAAAAATTCTACAACACATCTTAACCAAAATGAAACCTTTAGTTGCACAATCATCAGATCCATCTCAACAGAAGAAAGAAAAGCAAAAAAAAAAAAAAAAAAAAAAATAAAAAAAAAAAAAAAAAAAAAAAAAAAAAAAAAAAAAAAAAAAAAAAAGTTCGTACCTTTACTCACGATTGGGTCATGGGAGCAATCAAAGCGGAGGAATAGATAAAGAGGGGTTATTTTATCCAGTTATTTATACAACACTCACATGCGGTTGAGCGCAAGGGTGAAATGGTAAGTTCAGTTAGAAAAGGAGAGAGGGAATTTTTGTTGGCAGGGACTTTTCGACCGACGGCAGCCGCCAATTTTTATTTCTACGACAGCAAATTGGGATTTATTTGGGGGTCCAAAGTTGGTGGACTATTTAGCCCCCGTGGGTTTTGGGGTTACCGGGCGGTGACGGGAACAGGGGAGAGGGGAGGTTTAACCATAAAGTTCGGCGGGGTGTCCAGGTCGAGGGCCGGCAAAACGCCGACATCGGAAAATAACAGACTAGCGCTCGGTACCTGCTGTCTAACTATTTATTTTCATATTACTTCACTTGCAATTGCAAATTGCATATTGGCATTACGAGGAGTATTTTATTTTACCTACCTAGTCAAGCTCTCATCAATACTATATATATTTTAAGAAAGGCTCAATTCCCAGATTGACATTAAAAAAGTAGCCCATGACTAACAATGTATTAAAATTATCTCCGTTAACAGCAAGATATTTAAGCTTGCACGATGAGACAAATAAGCCTAAAATTAAAATTTTCAGCTATTTTCCATGTGTTTAGGTGGCATATGTATGATGAAGTGACAACTGTAGTTAGCGTCATTGAACCTAATAGAAGGAGTGATTTTCAAATTAACATAAAAAAGAAGGATTTTTTCAAATTTGGGACTCCTTTTTCTTTCAAATTGATGGTTCTTCATTACTTGAGCTCAAACAATCCATGTTCTCAAGCAATGGAGAATTCTCAAGCAATGGAGAACTCTAACTTGATAGAAGAATGAGAAGAAACTCCTAAATTAAGAAAAAAACCTATTTGCTTTTACACTAATTTAAAAATATACCTGTCTAATGGTTTGAATTAGGCTAGCTACAGCTGTCATATTATCATAAATATACCACATAAGCATCATGTGACAGATTTCATGAGTGGTCACCGGAAAAGTTTGCCGGAAAATTTATTTCTGGGCCTATTTGTCTCATCGTGCAACTTTAAATGCCTTATTGTCATCGGAGATAATTTTAATACCAATCTGATCATTGGGTACTACTTTTAATACCAATTTGGTAATTTAGCCATTTAAGAAAAGTCACATTTTTTATTTGTGTGTCAATTTTTTTTGGAAATACCAAAAATATCCTTGCAATCCAAAATTTAAAAGAAATACATTCATACTAGCAAAATATAACTAAAATAATTAACACTTGAGAATCAACACAATTACTCTCATTCTCACAAAAATCATTCCGAAATATCCTCACATTTTTTTTTGTAATGCATGCATCTTGTACGCCGGAGTACTACTGGAAAAGAAAAATATGAACAGATAATGACCAATAGAAACTTGTATATGAATGAACAAAAAGTTTACGTGTGCCTTAAGTTCAATTTTGAAGTCGATGGTTTGTATCGATCGCTGACTGCTATGTTCGCACTATTTAATTATTTTATTTGTATTGAGTTTTAACTCTATTTTCTTTTTTAGAAAAAAAAGATGGGGTCTCAAAGTGAAACTCGAGTTGAATTGGAAAATGTTGTCATCTCGAAATAGTTCTAGAGTTTTTCATTTTTTATAGTTATTTTATATTATGTTTTGTGCTGATTAAGAGTTGATATAGACACATTACATTCTTCTATCTTGCATATAACTTTCAGTATAGGATGTTCTAGAGGAGTTTAAAAAAAGAAAAGAAAATACTATTGAATCGTATGGAAAAGAAATCGGAATTTTGTCAGAACTATTTGCATGTGCGTTGGTAGTTCTACACTATTCAAGGGGCCCATCGAGGTTAATTTAGGAATTTAATTATCATCTTTAGTGGTTTTGAACAAGGAAAAGTTGCTTCTAGGCCCCCAAATCCAACTTTCAATGTGCGCCAGTCCCCCATATTTTTTTAATGTGTTGTAGCCCATTGTTTTTGAAAAAATTATGTACAGGCCCCTCCATCATGATTCCAGCTCATGTCAGCGGATGATTAGACATGCCACCTCATGATTAGACATGTCAGTTGGCTTAAATCCCAATTTTACCCTCATCTTTCTCATGCCAGCGAATGTTAACTCTTACGGTTAACATGTTAACTCTTACAGATAACATGTTAACTATTAATAGTTAACATGTTAACCGTAAGAGTTAACATGTTAACCGTAAGAGTTAACATGTTAACATGATAACCATGATCGTAGGGGAGGGGTAAAATCGGGATTTTTGAAGAGGTTGCGTTAAAACTTGGGGAGAGGGGTCTGAACACAATTTTTTTAAAAAAAAGGGCTTTAGCACATTATTGAAAGTTGAGGGAACTAAGACACATTGAAAGTTGGATTTTGGGACCTAGAAGCAATTTTCCCTTTGAACAATTCAATCACATGCGGATACTACTTAAAGAATTTGCATTTTAATAGGAAAAAGAAAAGGAGAATATGAAAATAGGCCAGCATTATGTGCTAGCAAATTCCTCTAAACATCCAACTCATGCTTTAAGCTCGAAGCCCAGACTGGACCTAATCACACCCAGCCTGGACTCATATTGCATCAATATTCGTGCACTCAATGGTAAGTAAAAATATATTAATTGCAAAAGACAAAAGTAGGTTTTCAATAATCTAGTTAGGGATATTCTGGTGTGGGGCCAGTCGCAAGGTGGAACAGCTGGAGGGCTGGGACCCAAAGGAAGACAGGCCATCGATTTTTTCTTGGTGACGGAAAAAACCACTGGGCGGTGGGATGTCAGACTTGTCACAATCCTTGTCACATGGGCAAATTCGGAATTTAAAGGTTATTACGAACTAAATTCCTCCTGATATTTTTTTAGATTACTTATCTGGAGAAAAGTAACCATGATGCAGCAGTGACTTCCCGGAATGAATAAGTCAAGTACCCATCAATCGATGAATTTATTGGTGTATTTATTTCCTAATAGCCTACTTGTATCTATATTTTAATTACTTGGATAACTGATCATGCAAAGGGTGTTTGTGAGAGAGTTTTTATTGGTCAAACTGGTATTTAAGGTAGCTTTTTCATATATTAACTGTCTGGTAAATTACAAATAAGCTCGTTTATAAGTTCCTTTTTAAAAAAGCTTGGATTTCAAAACCTAGCCTGTTAGGGGGTGTTTGGTTCAATTTCTATAAATTATAGGAAATGTTTTTCACCTAAAATATGATTTCCTTATATTTTTTAAAAAATTATAAGAAAAGTTTTGAGAAGTCAAAAAACAAACTTTTTTTTTTAATTTGCTTTTCAAAACAAGAAAATGGCCCGTAACTTTATAGAAAATAGTAAGATTTCCTATAATTTGTAGAAATTGAACCAAACACCTCCTAAATTTATAGAAAAGTTTAACTTTATAGAAAAGTATCAATGAGGTGTCAGATTTTTGGGTAATTTCCGCCCATTTTGAGAGGTAATTGATTTCTGTAAAATTTGATACTTTTTTATACTTTACAGAAAATATTTATATAAATTTTTTTTGAACCAAACACAATTTACGAAAATCTACAGAAAATTTTTAATTACAAAATTACTATTGTCAGATATTTTGAGAAAACTTTTCTATAAAATTGTGCAACCAAACACCCCCGCTTAGCTCATATAAACAAGCTAGGCTTCACTAAGTACATGATCTTTCTATCCATACAACTTTTACAAGCATTTGACTATAAAAGTTAAAATCTATCAAAAGCCAGCATATGACTTCTAAGCTTCTAAAAATAAGCCCTCTCAAACACTCTCATAATTAAATGGGCCATTAATCATTCCTAATGCTTTTTCATCAAATAACATAACAAATTTAAGTGACGTGACATAAAAAAAATCTTCATCATTTGATATAATAGATTATTTCTACGTGTACTATCTTGATCATTATTGAAATGAAAATTTATGACATATCAAAAACTGGTATTAGGTAATTATATTGCATTTAACATTTTATTTTAGAAAATACCATCATGTGACATATATACTTAGTAAGTTCTTTTATTTAAAAACGAATGAAATTATACAGGCTAAATTGACAAAAACTGTTAGAAGCGACTAGCAATCCAATTAGTGCTTAATTACACGACTGATCATCCAAGCCGTCAAAGCATAGGTATGAGCATCCAATTAAAAGAAAAATATAGTGACCAGTAATCCAATTAATCAAAAGTAAAGGCAATCGTTTAATCCCAAGTATATATGCAACACAAATGCTAACTACACTGTCGTCATTATGCTATTATTTTACTACTAGATGAAAAGATAAAGTTCATAACAACTCATGATTTTTCTTCCGGTTTATGAGAGAGAGAGAGAGCGCGCGCTTTACTTTTTTGTGTCTAGTAATACAAGAGTAATACGATACTTACGTTACTCTTATAGCTGCTTTTTCTGCACAAACCAGGAGTTCTTGTTCAACGTCATGCCCCTACGCACAAGTCAACAGCTAGAAGACCAAATTAACAAGGAAAAGGGTTCAGGGTTTAGTTGAGTGCGTTCGTCATCCCCTTCTGAGTGGGTATTATATGCCTACCTGATGATTAGATTTTAATTCAATCGGGTCGGTGATTCCTATCTTGTAAGATTAAGTTGTGATCAAGATCAGCTTTAAATGCATGATGATGCTATCTTTTTCATGAGTGGGATTGTTATGATTCTTTTGATATGCATAATTAACTGTTTCTATGTGTACTACTCCGTTTTATATTGTTTACCTGGTACAAACAATTAGCAAAAAAGTACTGCTATAGGTGTTAGTTTTAAAAACGAAGGAAACAGAAATTCTGAGGCGTGAAACACTTTTCTTAAAGAAATATTTGCCCCCACTTGATATTCAAAGTTACTTCGGGTTAATGCAAATTTTCTTCCCAGGATACAACAGAAAATGAAAATTCCAGTAAGCAAATCTGGAATTTTCCTTAATTCGTTGTGAAACAAGTTTGTAATATTGCAGATGTTTTTGATAGAAAAGATTCAGAAAAGAATTATTTTTTTAGATATCTGAAAACATAAACTATTTATAGGTTTGAAAAGATGCTTCCAACTGTTACAACTTTTCAAAACACCCCTTGAGCAAACAACCACTTTTCAATAGTCACTTGTCTTTTCATAATTTT